GGGCTCTTTAGAATAAATGCAGGGACGGCGGGTTAAGATCCAAATAATTATAAGGGCCTTTTTTCAAAACGGCGGGCAAAGGGGTATGTTCTCATCTCGGTCCTTGATTTTGGATCGGATGGTTGGAAATAGACCAGAGAGAGAGAGGACGGCGAGGCTGGCGGCGAGCTTCGACGGCGGCGCCATGGCCGGAGGCGGGCAGCACACATGGGATGTGACCTATGGACCACGGGGAAACAAACCGAAGGCACCAAGAGAAAGAGGAGAGCAAGGCGAACTCGACTAAGTAGCTTACCATGGCGTGAAGCAAACGGGTGTGGCATGGTGCTCGGCGACGTGGGCGGTGATGGCAGCAGTGCTAGGGTTGCGGCGATGGGCGCAATGCGAGGGCGACGGCTGACGCTTTAAGGCTAGATGAGGGCGGCGCAAAGCAGGGGCGCTATTTATGGGTCGGGAACAACTTGGAATGCAAGACAAGGGAGAAGACGTGGGTGGCACGGAGTCATCGGCGGCGGCAGTGTCCGGTGCGGAAATGATTGCGAGATGGAAGACGACGTGGCTGACATGTGGGGCTGGGCTGTCAGCGTCATAGGGAAGAGAGAGAGCGGCGCCCGTGGTTGCAGCAGGGCCGGTCTGCTGGATGGGCCGAAACGGGAGAGAGGGCAGGCCACGCGGGGAAAGCGGGCCGCGTAGGAAGCCAAGCCGAGTGGGAGCTGGGCCAATAGGCTAAAAGCAAGGGAGGGAGAAAATAAAAATAAAACTCATTTTCTATTTTCTCAACACAATTCCAAATCCAATTTAAACTCAAATTCAAATTCTTTTGCAAATTCCAATCAAACCAAAGCATCACAAAGTAAATATGCAGCAGCATGGATGCACACATAGTAGTATGAACAAAGTTATTATTTTTCTAAATTTCAATGCTCACAAAATGCATAATTAAATCATTTTCTCCTATTTTAAACCATGCAAATTTTAGGGTGTTACACTTAGGCACGGCATTGCCGGCCACTTTCCCGATAAGGTCACGCATCGGGCATGACGCAAGAAGACAAAGCTTCCCCACGGCCTCCAGGGGCTCGGAGGCTCCTGGGCCCGTGCGTCAGCCCCTAGAGCCGACCTCCTTTACTGCCAAGAAAACTCCAGAAGGTCCACCTAGGGGAGGCCGGTCCAAGCCGACACAGCCTGACACGCAGAGTGTCAGAACAGAGCAGTCGGACGATGCCCAAAGCTTCTTCGGCTCCACGACACCGCCACAGTCCACAGTGCGCCACTGCAAGGCCCTTCTAGACTCCGACGCATATAGACCGTAGACCTATCTCATTATATAAGGGATAAGGTCGGACCTAGGGGAGGATCAAGATGAGAAGACATTCTATTCCATTCATTGGCCTCTGCTTAGCATCGAGAGTAAGGCAACTCAAGGAGGGGCACCGAGATCTCCTCTACCGCATCCCGTCGTCTTTCTCCTCTCTGATGAGGGGAAGGCTCCACCGGCGGCGAGACAACCTTAGGATTAGCATCGATCTAACCGCCTACCAAATCTCTCTACAACCCTGCTGTAACCCCCTGATTTTGGGTGCTTTTGAGTATAAGGATCATCAGCTGCTGGATGTAGGGCATCGATTGGCCCGAACCAGGATAAACCGTTGCATCCTCTGTGTGATTCTTATATTCTTGAGTCCACTCGAGCCACCGAAACTCGTACTCTAACACCGACTCGAACAACAATGCTTACCGCAGTTCCGACCCCGCGACAGTCGGCTCCCTAAACTGGCTAGGACGATTTTTGTAGAGTCATGTAGCCTCAGTCCGTTTGCGACCCTTGTGGTCTAGCACCTATGGTGTGTGACCAATATTTGCGTCAATAGGAGGCCACTATAGAGGCGGCTAGAAATTGAGCCGCCTCTATAGAAAAAGCCTCCTGTCGCTGAAAATCAATTTTCTAGTAGTGTTATGTGTTCTAGTTGATAACAAGTTAATCTGTTTGCTACTAGAATTGTGTAAGAAAGGCTTGCTTGTTTCTTCTAGGCTAGGCACCTAGTATTATTAGGAATCATCTCTTTGCTAAAATAGTGCCTAGTTGTGTCTATGCTTTGTTGAAAGAAAAAATTTAAGGCCTACTTTGGCAGCCCGCTTTCCCCGTGTCAATCTTCCCCGTGCCATTTCTCCCTGGGCCAAATTTTTATGTCCTTTGGCAGCCCACCCACCCGAGGATCTTAGCCAGATTCCCTTCCTTTTCCCCGCGGTAGGAATCCACGACTCGTGAGGCCGGGAGGGTTTCCCCGACTCGCTCGCTCGTGACTCGCGATTTCGTCGCTCGCGACTCGCGACGCCGCCCAGTCGGTGAGCCTACCTCCGCCGCCTCCGCCGCCGCGACTTCCCTGGTTGGCGCACCCCGGCTCCACTTCGCTCCACCATCGTCGTTATCGCCAGTCAGTCCACCTCCATCCACATCTCCTTCCCCACAGAAGCTTCTCGATCTGCTAGGGTTTCATCCACATCTCTTTATGGTTGATCTTGGAGTTACCAGTCCGCGAGCTCAGACGCCTCTCCGTCGTCGCCTCGTCTCCTCCGGCCTCGCCTCGACTCTCCGTCATCGCCTCGGCTCCTCCGGCCTCGACTTCTCCTCCATCGCCATCACCTTGCGGCACCAGCATCTACGTCTCCGCAGGTGAGCTCGCTTCCACTTGCATCTCCCTACACCGCATCTACGGTTCCTGATCCTATCCTCACACGTTTCTTGTGGATCTTGGGACTATGGATGGCCGCATCTTCCTCCCCACTCCGCCCTATGCATCCGCTCGCGAATCACGACCGCTCGCACAGCTCTTCATCCGCCGCCCGCCGACCCGACCATGATGGCTCCACCACTACTCCGTGACTGACTGGCCTAGTCGCAAGATCTGGTGAGCCATTGTGTCGTCCGCGAGCAACACCGACGTCGCCAGCAACACGACACAACCTCTGCCTCTACAAGTTAGTCTTCTGTCCGCATCTCACACCCCTTCTTGTAGATCTATGGTTTTTTGTTTGTGATTCTATGGTTTCTTGTTTGTGATGTGAAAATAGATGTGAAAATAGAACTCAATTGCTTCATGTAGCTTAAAGATCCAACTGGTGGGCTGGTTTCTGTGTTCAGAACACCATTGCAATAGAATAGGATGGCATGTCGTGATGGATTTTTTTCTAGCATTGCACAACAACTATATGCATGCTTATAACGGTCCAGACATACACTGGTTGGGACGTTTGGTAGTCTTGCTATTTTCTAGCATGCATACTAGTATAGTAACCGATCACTGCAGTAGCAATTTTCTGCATGGTGACTAATGCATTTCTTTTATCCCATTGCAGTAGAGAAAATAGAATGCAGTTTATTTAGGAGCTGAGCACCTAGTTTTTCAAGTTTATGGGGGCTTAGCTGTGGCAATCATGCAAGTTTAGAGGAGCAAACCCAGGAGTCACAACTAACTGGGGACACATCCCAACCCAAACAATCTCTCAGGAAAGTCCAGGGAACACAGCTATGGGGCATCGGAATAGGATATGGTCAGAAGTTTCCAATTTGCCGCACATGAAACATTCTTCGGGCCCTGTCCACTTTTTCTTCTTCAGTTGAACTCCACATTGTATATGGTCATGTACTGCCATCCACAGAAAGATCTTCACCTTCAAAGGAATATTGCATTGCCATACTATCATCATACAACGGTCCACAGCGCCTCCATATGTCATTAATCTATACAACGATCTAGAAGTATATTTTTTGGTTCTTTCTAGGCACCAGAAAACCTCATCTTTGCCTTCATACAGTTGAATATCATTCAAGAGATCTAGAAGGGAACCCATTCCTCAACCAAGATGTCATTCAGCTGTCACCTGAACTCTATATGCCACTGACCATTCACACAAGCCTTGGCCACCTCTAAATATGGATGTGACGCAATTCTGAAAAGATTAGGAAAAGGTCTGGTCAAGAACTCATTGTCAGTTTCCTGGATCTGCTGGCTGGTGGGCCATAAATCTGCATCTACATGCATATCTGCCACCTCAACACTTCCAAACAACATTTTATAATAATCTGTGATGTGGGTTCTCAGACACTGGGGATCCACTGTTTCCTGCCCATCCACTTCCAGCATAGTAATCTGCATCTTCCTTCTTCTGCCATTAGCACATTTGTGAAATTATTCTCTTCATAATATCTGGATGAGGACCATACAAGAAGTTACTAGGAAATGAAGTGAAATGAAAAATAAAGAATCCACCTGCAGTGAAATAAAGAATGAAAATAGACAGTTCTTGAGCCAGCATTACAAAACCCTGTGAACAAAAGAAACCAACTAACAAAATAGCAAATGTTTTAAATATAGACATTAACAGTGTTGGATTTTTACCTCCAACGGCTAATCCTGTTACACAATCACGGTGGGCAAGCAGTGTTGATGATTTAAACACTCCAGCAGACTGTGGGCCATCAATTCCTGACAAATCAATTCCCCTATTGTTTAAGAAACCATTATTACTTCCATGATCCTGATTCAAACTGTTGTCATCAGCTCCTCGAGACAGTTGTGTTTTATCATCTGACTCAACAGCACCAGAGTCAGCGAACATCAACGATAACTCCCCAAGGAGTAAACATCTAAAACTCCTATTTTTTTGCATAGGAAGTGTTGCTACAGGAGATCTAAACTTCACATCAACTGAGCACTTGCAGCCTGCTCCTCTTGTTCCTATTCTTTGCTCCACCGCTTCCCATTTGCTCTGGTTGCTCCAATTTGCTCCAGTTGCTCTGTTGCGGTGTCGATAGCACAAGTCCAAGTGCTACTTTTGATGGGCTAGACGTCTCAAGTACGCTTAATGAAGCTCGATCTGCACCTTACAATCAAGATTACGTGCAAGGAAGCAGTGGTGGGAGAAAGCATAAGCAAAGTCACATTGGTGCTGCTATTGATGGTTTTGTGCAGTTTAAGAAGATGCAAACAAGTAAAACAATGGAAGCACTCAATGAAAAGAAGAAACAAGACGAAGCATTTTCAGTCGACAAGTGTCTCGATGAAGTTGATGCAATGGAACTTACTGATGTGGAGAAGGCGTATGCTATGAATATCTTCAAATCTGAGATTGACAGGGAGGTATTCATGAAAATGAAAAACAAAAATATTCGTTTGATTTGGCTCAAACAGCAGATTAGGTAATGCTTGGTACGCCTTTGGATTAGTTTACTTTGGTATGACTTAGCTGCTAATGCTTTTCCTTGTGCTTACTTGCAGTGCTATCTGTGGAGGAAATGTTGGTGGAGGCAATGTTTGAATTGAGAAGAAAAACGCAGCTGCAGTCATTGTATGCAGGTATATTATTTGAACAACAGCTTGCACTTGCCAACAGCTATGACTGCCGATTGATCTTATTTTTTATTAGCCTAGGAATTTGCATGTCTGTGAGATAGTAATCATATACATGGATTTTTTTTCATGGTTCTACACATGGTATAATAAGTCTCCCTGTTTGTTGGTGTTAGCTGTTGGGTGAAGGACTGAACCTACTGTGAGTTTGTGAGACTTGTCCTGTTGCATTGCATTGTTCATTGCTAATGGATGGAGGAGCCAGTTTGTTGGTGTTAGCACACAGAGACCCACTGGCTATGGCTGGTGTCTACTTCTCTGAATTGTCTCTTGAAAGGGAGCAGTAGAATAATCTTCCGTTTTTTTTTTTTTTTGTTTAGCCCTCAAGCATTGGCAGATCCTGATGTAGCTATGTCTTTCTGTTTCATGCAAGTTTGTCACGTTACACTTGTTTTTTTCCAAATCCAGCATGCATGTTTCATGTTTTTTTTCTAAATCCAGCATGCATGTCTTCCTGTTCGAATGCTTTCTTGTCCTATACCAGTACGGTTGTGTATTTCATTTATCCTAGTCTGAACTGATAGATAGCCATAGGCATCATGAGAACAATCTCCTTTTTACCTATGTTATATGTATTTTGGCCATATACAATAGCATTTTCCAGAGCCAGACATGTCATGAGAGATCACCATTTTCATTATTGTGTTACTGCAGATGTCTCAGTGGAAGCAATGCATGATTTAAAATAAGTGAAGTCGTAACTTTTGATAGTACTTTGCTAGATGCCAGAAGACATTGAATGTAAGGATGGTCAATTTCGAGATGATTGAAGTATATGATTATGACTTCACCATTTTCTATTGGATTTAAGGATGTAGAACAATCTGTATGAATGCTACTAGTAGTTGATTAGATGTCAGATAATACTTTTGCGTTTACTAGATTTGGTTTAAGGTCTGAATTATGTCTGTATTTGTATGGTGAGACTTGTTCCTGAGATTTTTCATGATTTTGTGGCTCTGACATTGATATATAGTGATTTTTTATATTATTCACCTCTTTTTGTTTTTTCTTTATTTTTTGCTATTTTTTTCTGATTTTTTAAGACATGGTTTCTCACGGACTCACAGTAGCATTCCTAGGCTAATATGTTGGGTGCTATCTGTGAGAAACCATGTCTACTGTGAAAAACCACCGATTTCTTCCGTTCCCGACAGAAGCAGGGGAAAAAGGTTTCCAAAGAGCAGCAGGGGAATGATCCCGCACGTGAAATCTTCCCTGGAGAGGAGAAGGGGATTATGATGTCCAAAAAAATTCCTCCCTTGCCGTTTTCTTCCCTGGGTTAATCACCCTGTGTTGCCAAAGCAGCCCTAAAGGTTATTATTCTGTTCTCTCTCGCCATCTATAGATCCTTTTAATAACACCGATGTAGTAGCGGTTGCGTTCGAGCGAGCATTGCGGTGGCAGCGGAAGAATGGAAGCAGCGACCACAACAGTCTAAATGAGCCGAGAATGCGATGGGGCGTTAGGGTTTATCTGATGAGGATATGGTCTGGTTCAACCAAGTGGAGTGTACGGCACATCAGGCTTCATTTTGAAAAAAATATCTTTCAAATGAATAAACTATTGACTGTGATGTTCTTTAGCAAAGAACCTAATTTCATAACGGTATACTAGACTAATTAACGAGTTGAGTGTCGAACATAAAATACCACATTTAAACAGTGTTCCGAGCAAAATTTATCTTAAAATTCTGAGCAGCGTCGTGGAGCAAAATTTACCTTCAAATCATGACCGGATCATCCGAGACACTCGGATACGAGAGTACAGTGTTTCTCTTTGTTAAATAAATAAAATTTAAATCTTATTTTTAGTGGCAAAGCACGAGGACGGATCCGAAAGTACACAGCGTTTTCTCTTTTTGTTAAATATAAAGTTTAAATCTTACTTTTAGTGGCAAGCACGAGGAGATCGTCCTGTCGCCTATGGGTCAAAGTTCTTATTTTTTTTATTTCTTTATATTAAAACAACTTCAACATAATCTTAATATAAGTGCCCACATAAAAGAACAAGCTTTAGCAGGGCCTTTACTATGGCCCGCACATTGAGCGGACCCTCAAATCCTTCCTCAAGCCCTCATCCCCAAAGGCTTAGGAGGGACCCCAAATTTTTGTTAGAGCGTTTATCCCTCTCGCCCGAGCACGGATTTTCCGAAGGACCTACACCTCCGCTTCCCTATCACCAACGGACCTCATGCTCCACACTCCCAGACTGGGAGCCCCTCCTGTCGGCGTGGCATCGCTCGCCTGTGCCTTGCTTGCGGCAACTAGGGCCAAGGGCCCGCGGGAGCGCCCTTGTGGCCGCGGCGACCAAAAGCTAGGCTCGCCCCGACACGCCGCCTTTGCTCGACGCCGCCCATTACCCACCTCCAACCGACATGTAGATCCAGCAACTCTCCTCCCTTTGGCAAGGTCCCTCTTCTCCGGAGATGCCTGCTCCCCGATTGGCTCCCTCCCTGGCTAGCTCCGTCCCCTAGCCGGCAGTCTTTGGGTGGCTCGGTCCAGAGAAAAGGATGGAGAAGAAAAAAAAGTGAAAGGGGAGAGGAAGAGTCCCATTGATAGGTGGGTTCCATGTGTCAGTGAATTCTAGGAAGAAATTGAGGATATTTGTTTAAGGGCCTCAGTTGAAGCAGATGTAAAATATTGAAGCCAACTAAAATATAGAAAGAGATTTAAGACAAAAAAAAATAGAGACACTGATGTGAGAGGTCGGTTAGAGTTGCTGTTACATATATATTGGACGATTTAGGGCAACTTTACTGGATAATATCTTGGCATTTGCTAAAAACTGTACACGTGAGAAAGGTGCTAAACTGGTGTAAAATGCTCCAACGATTGGTTTACCCAACTATTGTAACGATGGGATCAACAGGAAATAAAGTATTAGCTCCTTTGCTTCCTCACTCCATCTTGGACTGGTGAAGCCGCCGGTCGTCGACTCGTAGTTCTACCTTGAGCAGAGACAAAAAAAAATTATTTAACTCAGCCAGCCAGTGCGGTTGGTGGGAAGCGTACAAATAATTGCCGCTCCCCCCTCGTGCAATGCAGCTACCTTTGCATCGGCACTGCACACGACGGTGGCCCACGCCATGTTTACCACCATTCTTGTGGATTCCTATTCTTCTGGCCTGAGCACAACACTACTAGAGAACAGATTTTAGAACGATGTCTTAATTTGGTATTAGCCTCAGCATTTTTTGCCGCCGGGACTAAAGGACCCTTTAGTCCCGGTTCGTAATACCAACCGGGACTAAAGGTCCCTGCCCAACGGTCGTCCGCGTGGCAGGGATCTTTAGTCCCGGCTGGTATTACCAACCGGGACTAAAGGTAACCTTTAGTCCCGGTTATGCTACCACCGGGACTAAAGATTTTAGTCCCGGTTTGAGTGATACCCCGGGAATAAATATTAATCTTTAGTTCCGGTTTGGCCACCTAACCGGGACTAATTATGCCGACCTATACACGGCTCATTTCTTCCTCCCCGAGCCCGAGCCATTCCATTCAAACTCACTGCCTCTGTTCTTTAGCTTGCTGTTATTCTTGCTCTCTCCCCCTCCATTGGTGTTGCTCTTCAATTTTGGAGGTAACAAACTTAATCCTCTTATATTTTATCAGTAGCTTATCTCATTTTGCGATGTAGATGCATGTGTAACTTTATATGTTGGACTTTATTATGATTTTATATGTCATTTTTAGCTCAAAATCACATGATGATTTACATATATGTTTGGATAAACAAAAAGTTAAATTAGTTCATCAAAATCACGCCTCTTTCGTCTCTCATTGGAGCACGCGCCATCCTCGTCCCCGGTGACTTACGTGATCTTAGAATTAATTTTTCCATGAAATGAAAAACTTAGAAAATAGTTAGAAAATTATAGAAAATCCGTACTAGTTGAACTTGCGGACCGTGATCATCTCGTGAGCATTTTCTCTGCCGAGCGGTAGCGGACGTCAAGGAGGAGCTTTGATTCTACGAGGGAGGCGGCAGCGGTCGTGGAAGACCGTGTTCCTTCCTCGTAGAATCGGAGCTCTTTCTTGGCAGAAAGCACGGTGCCGTCCGGTGGAGAAATGCTCGCCGAGATGATCACGTAAGTAAGGTCAACTAATACGGATGGTTATTTATTGAAACATGTTTTTGAGCTATGTGATTTCTATGTCATTTTTAGCTCAAAATCACATGATGATTTACAATAGTAAAATCACTTGATAGTTTGGTATTTTACTATTATACATAGTACATATTTCATGGTTTAGTTAGATAAATAAATAATTTTAGTTTTGTTTAAATATATTATTTTAGAAAATGTGAAATTTACAGTAGTTTGCAAAAATAAGTATAGAAAGTAGATGACAACTGGTACCGGATCCTCGGCCTCTCGTTCGGTTGCGAAACGACTCAGGCCAGAACTCCCTCTCATTATCTGCGGCAAGTGTAAGTAGAATATTGTGATGAAGTACCGAGTCAAGAGACAGGGACCCAACAAGGGTCGTGTTTTCTACAAGTGCCGGATCGCGATGTGAGTTTCTTACGCATTTAATTATTATGGCTAATTGACTCCTTTTCTTGAATATTTTTGACTAAATATTTTTGGCTTTAATTTCAGTGGGAGGGCAATGGATGCGATGGTTGGTCTTGGGAGAAAGATTATGCTACATACGTGCAGAATTAATTTATTTGGCGATGAGGCGATGAGCCAATGAGGAGAAGCTTATTGATATTCAACGGAAGAATGATTTGTGCATTTTAGTTGTGTACGATCACGAAATAATTATGTTATTGAAGTGCATTGTAGTTTTAGTTTGTTTAGTGATAGTTGGGATTGCTTACGTTGTAGCCGAGGCTTAGTTAATTAATCAACCGTGTGTGTGTCATCTATGTTGTGTAATAAAATACTTAATTATGTTC